CAAGGACGTCGCGGCGTTCTCCTTCCGCCCCCGGTCTCCCTTCCGCCCCCGTCTCCCTCCGCCCCCGTTCTCCCTCCGCAGAGAGCCGCGGGGACGAGCCGACCCACGCCCTTGTCCCCCCTCAGGTCACGGGCAGCGGAAAGACCTCTCGCCTTCGTCATCCCCATCCTGGAGATCCTCCTGCGGAGGGAGGAGCCGCTGAAGAGGAGTCAGGTGAGGCGGCCCCGGGCCGCGCACAGCTGCCTGGAAAGCTGGTCAGATGCTCAAACAGCAAACGGGAGTGAAGTCTGTTCTCGTTGTGCGCGGATCCTGCCTCTGGGCGGGTCTGCACCGGAGACTGAACTGCAGCCCCCACCTCTCCCGCTGCCCCCCCTCCCCCTTCGCCGGTGGGAGCAGCCCGCGGGGTTGAACAGGAGACACTTCGCCTTCCCGGTTCCGCCTGAGGCCCGCTTACTGCTGTGATGTTTGCATTTTTGTGGGTGACCTCGCTGTTAGACCGGCCCCCCCCCCCCCTGCTCGCGCGCCTTATGGAGAAAGTGTGTTAGACAAGCCGCCTTCAGGTGGAGGGACGTGCTGGTGGCTGAGTTCAATGTCAGCGAGTTAAGAGGACATTTTAAATCGTCGTCTTTAAACAGAAACCTAAGCCAAATCTCTATTGATTGGTGGATGCAAAGGGGACCCGAGGCTCCCAGGAACCTCACCCCCAAATGCCCCCAGGAGCACTGGTTCAATAGTGGCTGGTTCAGAGTTCGTGGCACTTGAAGGCAGCGGTTGCCAACCTCTCAGACCTCACCGATCCCCAGTGGCCCAGGGACCACCTCTTGGCTGCCACAGCTGCCGAGAACATGGGGACGGGCTGAGTGAAAGTAGTGGACGTGCACCAGGACCGGGGCTGCTCACAAGCCCAGGCGTGAGGTGGAGGGTCCGGGTGCATGTGCTCAGCTTGCAGGCCCCATGCACTGCTCACCGCGCCTCCCGCCCCCACAGGTTGGAGCCATAATCATCACACCCACCCGAGAGCTGGCTGTTCAGATAGATGAGGTCCTGTTGCATTTCACGAAGTCCTTCCCGCAGTTCAGGTAAAGGGGATGCAGGGTCCCTGTTGGCCACGGGCCGGGACTGTGCCTGGCCTGCTCAGGACCTGTTTCCTGTTTCAGCCAGATTCTCTGGATCGGAGGCAGGAATCCCGGAGAAGATGTCTCGAGGTTTAAGGAACACGGGTACGTTTCCTCGCCGCTGCTCGGTTCTTTGCTTGCTCTTGGCCCTGAACCCAGGAGGAATGGATGCATGATCTCAGCTTAACCGGGAACTCCCCTCCCAACAAGGTGTTTTGCAGGCCAGTCTCCCTTTTTACTCTCTGGCTCCTTCCTTTCGGCCCTCCTGAACCCTCCCTCCAGCGAGCCCTACCCCTGCAGGAGCAGGGACGTGTGGGCTGTGGCCCCCCAGCTCTCCCAGTGACTGCACAGGGCTCAGGGCCCTGCTTTGGTCACTCTGGGCTCTCTAAGTGGCCTCATCCGTCCTGGTGGTTTCTGACCTCGCCCTGAGCCCCAGGTCCGCACACATCCACTCGTCTGCCTGCATCTCCCTGGCATCTCGCAGCGGTTGCAGACACGTCTAAAATGGGGGCTTGGGATTTCCACCTGCACGTCACCTGGAGTTCCCTGTTCATCTGTCCTCCCGCTCACGTGTCTCCTTTCTCTCCACTGGGATCTAGGTGACTTTTTTGGGGGTCGGATATAAAATGTGTTTGGAATTACAAATTACCCCCAAGATCAGAAAGTGTGGACAATGTTAACTTCATTGTGGCGACGCCAGGCCGCTTGGAGGACATGTTCCGGAGGAAGGCCGAGGGCTTGGACCTGGCCAGCTGCGTGAGGTCCCTGGATGTCCTGGTGTTGGATGAGGCAGACAGACTTCTGGACATGGGGTTCGAGGCCAGGTACTGGATTTCGGACTCGATTGGACACATGAATTTCACAGCATTAGATTGTTTGCTCCTTCAAATTCTACCCCACAATATAAACTCCAGTTCTTCATCTTTTGAAATTTTATTTATTTTTTCCTTAATCCTCACCCGAGGATATGTTGAGAAAGAGAAAGAGAAAAACAAACATCGATAGGTTGCCTCTTAATGTGCCCTGACCAGGAATCGAACCCTCAACCTTTTGGTGTACAGGATGGTGCTCCTATCACCTGAACCTCCTGGCCAGGGCCCAATTCTTCATCTTAAGATGCATTTCCCTTCATGGTTTCTTTTAAAGTTTGTGTGTGTGTGTGTGTGTTAATAAACAGCTCAATTGGGATCTGAGTCCTATGTCATACAATTCAGCCATTTAAAATGTGCAGTTCACTGGTTTTTAGTCTCAAAAAGTTTGTCTGAATTTCACTTTCTTTGAACTGCCCCATTTTGTGAAAGCACAATTATGTGCTTATATAGAGAAACTGGAAAAGTGGGAACATAAAGAAGAAATAAAAGGACTCACCACCTCACCTCTCAGTAACGTTTGCTGTAAATACTGCGATAGTTTCTCTTTCAGTCTTTTCCGAGTTTAGTATAACGTAATGTTTAGTATCCGCATGTAATGTTTGCAGGGTTATGCCGATAAATTGGGGGGTTCAGTTTGCACCCTTTTTTCCAGCATAAACAGCATCCTGGGGGTTTTGCTCAAGCAGAGGAGAACGGGCCTGGTTTTGGCCACCCAAACGCAGGAGGTGGAGAACCTGGTGCGAGCAGGCTGCGGAACCTCGTGCGCATCTCTGTGAAGGAAAAGAGCGTGGCGGCCACC